GGTGAGTGGCGTTGTAGAGAGGCTGCTTGGCAGAGAGGAGGATGCATCTGGAAGGAGTACATTAAGAGACATGGACCAGAAAGAGAGTGATGAACCCTTGATGGAGCTCCCGGTAGCTCAGCTCTGGACTCCCGAAAGCCTGTTGAACTTCGTTTCTTCTTCTTGCTGTCCATTAAATGACCTCTTAGATGCCATACCTGTGACTTTGTCACCCTTTTCTTTTTGAATTTATTTTTTATGTGTATGTCTGTGTGAATGAATGCTCTCTCTCTCTCTCTCTCTCTCTCTCTCTCTCTGTGTGTGTGTGTGTGTGTGTGTGTGTGTGTGTGTGTGTGTGTGTGTACATGCTCGAGCATGCACAGAGGCCAGAAGAAGGCTTTGGAATCCTTGGAGCTGGAGTTACAGGTGGTTGTGAGCCGAGTAACATGGGCACTGGGATCCAAACTCTAGTTCTCTAGATTAGTACATGTTCTTAAGTGCTGAGCCGTCTCTCTAGCCACGCCCAGCCTTTTTAAAAAATAAAATGTTTCTATTGATTATACTCCTTAAAATGTGACTAAAATAAACGACTACCCGTGTGTTTCCAGCAGTGATTTCAGAGAGTCGTAAACTTCTATCTTGGTAGCTTAGCCAAGGGTGGAATGTTTTCTAGTTGTTTGTTTTGAAGTAGAAGTAGTTTTTAATGAAATCCTTTTACCTTTGCTCTTGTGGTTGAGTACTTAGGACACTCTGTCTGCCCACCCATTCTCCCCTGTGATATGGAATTTTTTTTTTTTTTTATGGTGTTCTTTAGAAACTCTGTTGAGGAAAAGATGCCTGACAACTTAAGCTCACATCAAAGCCCCAGATTGCTTCTGCAAGCTTGTAATGGTGGATTTTACGGTTGTTTGCATTACACACCTAATCTCAATGGCTCTGTCAACAAATCCGATGCCCAAATAATTAGAGATTTTTATGGCTGGGGAAACTGTAGATGTTGAGCACAGGAGGAGGGGTAGGGATGGGAACAGGCAGTTCACATCTGCTTCATCTCCAGCAACTGAAAGTTTCCCCTGAATCAGATTTAATTCCTCTACCCAAAGTGGCGTTATCTGGATGGAGGACTTTACAGGAATACAAATCAAAACTACGTTGAGATCCCATCCCACCCCGCTAGAAGGTAGACATTAAGAAAATCAGAAGGAGTCAATGCTGGTGGATGTGGACTGAAGAGAACCTTAGGCACTGCTGGTGGAGAGCTGAATTGGTGTGGCCACTGTGAGAGTCAGCATGGAGGTTTCTCAAAACAAATATCTGATGTGACTTGGCCACATATTCCTGGGTACTTAGCTAGAGGAGTCCAACTTACTGTACCACAGAGATACTCACACAGCAGTTGTTTATTATAGTATTGCTCACAGTAGCTAAGTTATGGAGCCAACCAAGGTGTCCAGCAACAGGGGAGAGGGTAAGGAAAATGTGTGAATATTCAGTAGGGCTTTTTTTCAAACCCATAAAGAACGAAGCTGTATTGTCTACAGGAAAATGGATGCAACTGGAGATAATTGTATGGAGTAAATGAAGCCAGTCTCAGAAAGACAACTATTGGTTGGTTTTCTCTAACTGTGGCTCTTACACAGAAAGACGGACAGACAGACAGACAGACACACACACACAGAGCTATGATATAAAAGTAGAAGTAAAACAGCTTAGGGGAACAGAGGGATGAATAGGAAGGAGAAAGGAGTCATGTGAGAAATGTCCTCAGACTATGGTATATGCTTGTAAAAAAAATCAAAGGAGAGAGGACCCCTAAAAGGGCAGCTGAAATGAAGATGGGAAGAGGGGCTTTTGTTCTCAGCTGTAGCAAATGAAGCCTGGATGCACTGGATGGGCAGGAATGATAAGAGTGACTGGTTTATGAGAATGTGGAAATCAGCTGACACGGACGTGAATGCTTGAGCAGGCTCCTCGACTTCCTACACTGAATGGTTCAGTTATGGAGCTCACCAGCTCAGGCGTGTCATGAGCAATCTGGATGAAGCCTTGGCCATCATGGTCGGGGATGGCTGTAGAGAGCCTGAGTATGGTCCAGTCTATCACCTGTGGGCAGCTTATGCGGTAAAGTACTTTCCCAAGCACCCCGGACCTTCCTCACTTATTTGATTTCCACCATGGCCATTTATTGAGTTTTTCTGTGGGCAAGGCTCTGTTGGGAACCACAAGATGGGAAAAGTGGCTCATGTGGCATTTTCTGATCTACAGTGCCACCCAGAAACACTGAACTAACTTAATTTTTCAAGATTACTATATTCGATTCACTTTTGCCGGTAATGTTTTGAGAGGAAAAAGTTCCAACAGTTCACCCCTGTGTTGTGGACAGGCGAAAGAATGCAAGTTCTATTTTTAAAAGTGTTTTGTGCTCATAGCCAGGCTGCTCTCCTGTGTCAACAGGAAGTATTTCTTCATTCACTTTTGTTTTTCTTTACATTTTGGTGATACTGAGGACTGAACCCAGAGCCTTGCACATAAAGTATGCACCTGCCCCCCACCAGCACCTCTGCCCTTTATCTCTTTTTAAAATGCTAGTTGTTTATAAAAAAAATTTAGAAGTTAGTTGAGAGAGCATCTTCATCATCTTCATCTTCCCGTTTCTAAGGTCTTTGTTTGCCCTCCAGATACAAGTTATTTTTCTTTTGCTTACTTCTCACTCTTCGCCCTCCTCTGTGTGTGTTTGATCCTAGACCCTTCATTTTTATAAGATGTTTTGCTTTCCTCCTAGAGTTCATAATTGCTCTATTCTTCTGGGTATCTAGCCAAATTCATCGTCAGAATTTCCAGGCTTCTAGCCTATCAGTGTTACTCTTGGAAGCAGCCAGGCATAGCAGATTACTTACCAGTTCCCCCTCCCTGTTACCCCAGAGACCCAGCTTCCACAGTTCTTTATTCTCCTGCTCCATCAGGGTCCAATTGTTCTGTTGTCTGACAGTTTCATAATGACAACATTCAGTGAGGATGTGTATGTAGTGTCTTCTTTCTAGACCCAGCTGGTAGTCCCCTTGCAAATAATTTTATATAAGCAGCATGGGAAGGTGTATTTTAAGCACCTACTGCTGTGCTAGAACTGCCTTCACTGTCCAGTTGATGAGATTTACATAGTAGGGTGAAGGAAATGCTCTCAAAATGGGAACATTGCCACATCTGCATCCTGGAAGTTGTTTATTAAAAGTAGGATTTGCTACCATACAATTCAATGCCTATTTCTTCACATGTATATTAACTTCAGGTTGAGCTATCTGAATTGTATTCCAGATTATCACTAAGAAAAAATGTCTAGACAATCAATTTCTTATTATCGTCAAACTCACAGTGGTGGTCGCCACTGAGTTTTTATTTTATTAAACAATTTTTGTTTGAGACAGGGTCATACCATGTAACTCTGGCTGGCCTGGAACTCACTATGTAGACCAAGCTGGCCTTGGACTCACAGAGATCCCCTTGCTTCTGTCTTCCTGAATGCTGGGATTAAAGACATGCATAACCATGCCTGAAATCACTGAGTTTTACAGATTATTTTAAAAGCATGATGCAAAACTTGTCTTACTAGACTGTTTGGTAGCTGCCTGAGAAGCAGTCGGGTATGAAAGAGTAGGGAGTTAGCTATGCTTGTCCTAGTAATAGTCAGAACAGCCAGTACTATACATTTACATATACAACATATACAGAATATTTAGCTGCTTCTTCTGGTTTTGGGGTGTGTGTGTGTGTGTGTGTGTGTGTGTGTGTGTGTGTGTGTGTGTGTGTGTGTGTTACTAGGGATTGAACTCAGGGCCTTGTACATGCTAGACAGATACTTTCCCACTGAGGTGTATCTTTCATCCCTTCTTTGTGTATTTTCACAGTAGGCAAAGAGTATTGCTGAGGTAGAAGTTATGGCCGTTGCAAATGATGATTAAGCTTTCTTATGGGGCCTTCTTGTTGTCAAGCAGGCAAATTAGTGTTTTCCTCCATGTCTTTGAATGCTGACTTACTGGAGGAGGGCACTTCTTCATTGTGTTTCAATGAAGGATAACCATTCCTTTCTGAACTGATTCATTTTATGTTTCCTCAGAACATCACTGGAAGAAAAATGTGAGTTTTTAAAGTTATTTACATTTGTTTTTAGACAGTTTCACACATATAGTCAATACACACCAGCCACTCTTAACTCAGTTGGTAGAATAGCTTGCCTACCATGCACAGAGTCCTGGGTTCAAGTCTCTGTGGTATAAACCAGGTGTGGTGGCACATGACTGGAAAAAAGTGTTTTTAAATTCATGTCTTGTTTAAAACACTCAGCCCTGGATAATCTTTACAAGTAGAGATGGAATCCATGTGATCAAATCTTTCTACCCGAATGCACTGCTCTTGGAATGCCCCTGGCCTCTGCCTGGGCCTGTAACTTTGAAGCAATTA